TTGCTAAAGGGAGACATTATCTGAGGTTGAAGGGAGCCTACACTTTTGTCATAGTTTTTTGCACAAATATATCTCTTTTTTTCCCCAAAAGTGTAACAGGTAGGATCTTTAGTTTGTAAAAGCAACATGTGCTGGGAGGTGCCAATCTGCCTGCAAGAGTTTGTTAGATTTTTCAACCGCTTGGGAAAAAACTACACTTCACACATGCTCAGAGAGTACAGTTGGGTGGAAACTTCTGGGCACACGTCGGAAGAGGCATCAAAACCGATGGTTGAGAACTCATAACCTGGGTTGGTTTGAACTGGCACATTTTTGATGTACAAACCTCTTTTTTTGGCCTTTGGAATTCCCCTTTGTTGCCACTTTTAAGGCTGCGGGTTCCAAATTAGGTCCTTTAGCTTTCCTTTCCAAAACATAATGCCCGTAACTAGGTCTAAGGTGCAGAAAGGGGATTCTGAAGAATAATGGCTTTTAGCACCCAGTCCCTTGCTTCCTTCAATTTCAGTTGCGGCAGGTGATGAGCTTTGATTGCGTTAAGATCTGTATACAAAACAAAAAGATATGCCCAGTAAGGGCTTTCATTGTAGATTTATTCTAATTATAGCTGACAAGACTTCCATTACCTTTACGTTCCTTGTGCCTACACTTTAGGAAATCTCTTGCTTTGGGTCTGTTAATCCCTTCCAGCACCAGAACTGGAATATTTTTTGCCCGTTGCTGTGGGAATCTGCAGAGTGTCGTTCTGAGTACACAAGAAGGTTTGCTCAGGATGTAGACCTGCGTGTCAGGCAGGCCTTCCGAACAAACCAAGATAGGTGGCTTGATGGTGTCTCCAACTTGCCCGGCCACTAGTACTTTCTCCAAGTATGGACATCCACACTTTCATCCAGGTAAAGTTTTCATGACTGTGGCATAACAAGAATAGAACTCAACATCAGCTGCCACCTGCATACAAATTCAATTTATGACACTATGTCTAAAAACAAAGGTGATTTTTTAAAAAAATGTCTCAATGGATGCTATGTTTAAGAAAGTTGTCCTCCTTATTTCATTTCCTTCTGAACGACAGAAATACCTGCTCCAAATTATTTTAACCCTTGATTCTTCTCGGATGCTTATAATCAGACCTGAGACAGATTTGTTCCCAAATCTTAATGTGGTTTATTCCCCAATATTTTAATTGTTGCTACAGTATATCTCATTGTATATTTGACGCCTGTATTTCAATACTTTGCTATATTTTATTTCAAAATCTGATAATGTTTGAGAAAAGGCTTTAAATGGTATTAGGCAAGTTCCATTTGTTAGCTCACATGCAGTGGCATTTAATATGTGACCATAGAGAGCATGTTGAGATTTCAGGTGATGCTTTTCAGAAACATTTAAGAGATGCCAACATTTAATATCTTGATTTAAATTTTATTTCAAAATGTGTATATATGTTTGGATTAGAAAACTGCATTCAGTTACTGAAGATGCGACTACATTGAAATTTGATTTACCATCTTTGTTACATTTGAATTTGTAGTCAGGGCAATTGTATACACGGGGCGGTGGATTGCTTCTGGAGTTCACTGTGTATACTGGATGTGATGCAATTTGCATTGCCTATGTTGAAATTTGATTCACCATCTTTGTTACATTTGAAATTGTAGTCAGGGCAATTGTATACATAGGGCGGTGGATTGCTTCTGGAGTTCATTGTGTATACTGGATGTAATGCAATTTGCATTCCAGCCTTCCTTCTTTCCTTCATTCCTCTGGTACTGCCTCTGCTGATCCTTGCTTCCTCTGGTCCCACCTTTGCCAATCTGCTGGGGGCATAAATAGGGAAAATAATATTAACAATGAACCAAGGTGATAAGGTGATGTACTGCTCATCTCGAACTGTCTACATTGCCGCAACAGCACCTACAGATACGTACCCCATCTTTATAAGAATGTATCACAACTATACATTGCCATAACAGCACCTACAGATATGTACCCCATCTTTATAAGAACGTATCACAACTAACTACATGGGGAAAAGACTGAATCATTGTGGCTTGAAAAAGTAGATGCCTTCCAGCAGAAGAGCTAAAAGTTGCTTTGGGAACCTAAAGGTCTGGATCAATTTGAATCAGCCTTTGTGTTATATGGTCAGTAAAAATTTTTTGTTGAATAACAGCACCTACAGATATGTACCCCATCTTTATAAGAACGTATCACAACTAACTACATGGGGAAAAGACTGAATCATTGTGGCTTGAAAAAGTAGATGCCTTCCAGCAGAAGAGCTAAAAGTTGCTTTGGGAACCTAAAGGTCTGGATCAATTTGAATCAGCCTTTGTGTTATATGGTCAGTAAAAATTTTTTGTTGAATTCACCTGTTTAATAAGCAGTGTAAAACCTGCCATATTTGACCATGTAGTCGCTTGCTGAGTAATGCAAGCTGGAAATTTTGATGTGCAAAGAATATTTGTTTTGGCTCTAGATAAGAGTAAAATTGAACTTTTAGAAAACACTTAAATCAGATTTGCTTGCACATTTTGTAGATTTAAAAGGGCTCTGTGTATAATCCGCCCAACATATCTGTTTCAGCCACTTCTTATAATAAAGTACTTTTCTCATGAAATGTTATATCACTGCTAATAAGAAGAGACAGGACCAGCCAAAAATGTTTTGCTACCTAGACAGAAATACAAGGCCGTGCCATCGCTCATTCTAACTCATAAAGCAGTGGTTCCCAACTTTGAGTCATCAGATGTTCTTGGACTACAACTCCCAGAAATCCTGGCCAGCATAGCTAGTGCCAAAGGCTTCTTGGAGTTTTAGTCAAAGAACTTCTGGGGACCCAAGGTTGGGAACCCCTTTGCTAAAGTTAACTTGAGTGCCCATTGAATTTTCTTCAATATTAACAATGGGGCAGCCTCCTTCATTGCACCTGAAGCAGAGCCTGGGAAGAATTACACTTTGGATGGCAATTTCCATCATCCCCAGTCTCCAGGGCCCATGCTGGTTGGGGATTATGCGAGTTGTAGTCTAAACAGGACCACATTGACTAAAGTGGGCTCTTGTACCCTTGGAGTCTTAACTCTACAAAAGCACACCAATTCCTAGCTTATAGATGTTTGTTTGCTTTGCAAATTTGAGTTTGAAGACGCTGATAGGGAAGAGCAAAAGCTGGCACGCCTGTTTGCCCTTCCTTTCCTGCCACGAAAGGCCGGTGGGATATGGTTTCTCACCCAGAATTGGGTGGAGGGGTGGCTGTTTTTCTCAGAGATGCCCCAAGACATGCAGAAAAAAAGTCAAAGTATGTAGTGCTGAAAGCAAAGCCAACAGGTTGTTAAGACACCTGAGGCAGAAAATACCACAAACCTTCCTTCTCTGGGGGTAAAAATCCAACATCCATAAAGGAATAGCCAGTCTTAGGAAATAATGTGATAGGGTAGCTGCACACATTTTTAAGGGAACTGTTTTTTGTTCCGCAAAACATCGCAAACGGAGTTGGTGGAAAAAAACCCCTAATATTCTAGCAGTGTAAATGAATTACCAATGAGTCAATGATTTACGTTCCCTCTCTTGCATCGTGTGTAGCTAAAGATAAGAGGAGATTAGCTGAGAGAGTCCTTTTGTAAGTACTTGAATCTCAACCCCAAAAGGATAAATATTAGGTTGGCCTCAGAAACCACAGTTGTTGAAAATATTGGCCTCGAAGCAGTATGGGCCAGGAGAACTGACGGTATAGGTGCATCACCAGTTATGACAGAGGGCTTTGTCATAATCTAAAATCAGAGCTTTGTATAGTGAGCTCTTACGGCCCACTCCCAGGAAGCCGCATTGAGGCATTTACCTCAGGCGGCAGAATTCTTTGGATGGCAAATCAAAAAAACCCTGCCACCCGTCAAGATGGTAGGAAATGTAACTCCTTGCTGTTTGTGAATGTAAAACAGCACCCATTTTTCACTCGCAATTCTTTTGGTCAGTTCTAGTAAGGGGTGGTGTGTGTGTTTGGGGTTTTTTTTGCACAATAATTATTTTTCCACCAATTCCAAGATTTTTTTTTGCACTAAGCATGGCAATTGCTCTCTTGTTGCATAATCTTTTTTTTTTTTAAAAAAAGAGAAGCATCAAGTGGGGTATTTGTGTCATTTTGATCAACCAGCCAGTCTGTCTGTGTTTGCTCTCTCTCTCTCTCTCTGTGTTCAGCTTCACAAAGTGAAAAAAAAAGAGTTTTTGTGCACTTTGTGGAAACAGCAATCCCCAAAGTATCTTATCTGATCCTTGTGCTGGAGGCCAGATCTTTTTTTTTTTTAAAAAAAGAGAAGCATCAAGTGGGGTATTTGTGTCATTTTGATCAACCAGCCAGTCTGTCTGTGTTTGCTCTCTCTCTCTCTCTCTGTGTTCAGCTTCACAAAGTGAAAAAAAAA